TTACACCTGTCCTACCTCACTGGGGGGGGGGGGGTTGGAATGGGTCGACATTTAGCTTGTGCATGGAGATTTTCTTTGGGATACCCCGCAAGTCGGCGTGACTAAAAGCAAACAAATCTGCGTTAGTAGTTAAGAGTTGACGAAATTTACCTCCTTCCTGAAGTTTGCAGCCGATGTAAGCTTTCTTGCTATGATCGTTGGTGTCTAATTGAATGATCAAGGTCTTCTATGGTCGATTCTGCAGCTTCGACCATATCAGGATCTCTGATGACGTCTTCACTATTGTCACATATCAACCTCGACCCTATTGATTGTTATGCCTCTTTTTCTTTATCCTTCGTCTGTTGAGTGACCGTGCAGTCAAGGGAGATGCAATCGCATTCTCGGGATATGCGTTGTTCCCCCCTCCCCATATGCTGAATATTCCCCATGGAGTTGGGAGTTTTATGACCTGGTATAAGCTGGAGGGCATGGCCCTCATGGTGTGTATCCATTGTTGCCATATTATGGCGTTGTATGGTGTGTATTGGTCCATGATGTGGAATGTGGTTTCCAGAGTAACGCCACATGCCATAACAAGGAGTGTGATTTCGCCAGATGTCCGCTCGACTGCATTATTAAAACCAGTTAGTGTGATGCAACACGATCCTATCTTATCCTCGAGTTTCATTTGTGCAAGTACTCGAGCGTCGATAATGCACGTGCCGCTCCCATCGTCTACCATAATGCATCTCACATCATTATCTAGAATTCGTAAAGTAATAACAAGGGCATCATAGTGAGGAAAAACCAAACCATTGATATCCGATTTATCGAAGATGATACTTTCTTCGAGTTTGTCATACCATTCACCGGTGATTGAATGTTTGAGCTTGTGGGTAGTGGCGAACTTCATGTTGTTGATGAAAGCATCGTCGCTGCTACTGATAATCATGTGGACAGTGCGGGTTGGTGAGGGCGGTTTCAATGGTCCTTGATATTGTTCACGTCCTCTAGCAAAGTTGGTCCTTTTCCGATTGCTCAGCAACTCTTTGAGGTGTCCCGGTCATAACATGTTTACAACCTCCTATCTTAGGGCGATACAATCTTCGGTTTTGTTCCCTTGTTCTTGATGGAACTCGCAAAGGGCATCCGATTTTCTAGTACTCGGGTTTGACCTCATATTTTGTGGCCATTTCACCTTTGGTCCGAGTTTCTCCAAGGCATAGACTATTTTTGTAGGTGACACACAAAAGTTATGAGAAGATAATAAAGGAGGCATACCTCTTTCATTTCGGTGAGTCCCTGTCCTTGATCTGGGTGGGCCTTCTTCGTGGAGGGAGAAGAGGACAACAACCGCTCTGACATATGGTTGATGTCGCTCCTTGTCGGGTTGCGGAGTTGCGAGGTCCCTTATTGTAACATTTCTTCAATCTTTTCTGGATTCGGCCTGTACCGGGGTCAGTCAATGAGTTGGTCCATTGAGGTCATCCTCGTCTACTCGGACCTCGTCACAATATGCGTTGTGTATTGTATCCTAAGTGATTGCGGGATACTTCATCACTCGACTCAATAGCTTTTTAGTCGCCCTTGAATCATCCCTGCTCAGCCCGTTCTGGAAGGTTGCGACAGTCATCCCTTCTGACATGTTTGGCAGGGTCATCCTTACTCGGTTGAAACGAGCAAGGAAGTCCCTCAGTCCCTCTCCAGGAGACTGTTTAATAGAAAATATGTCGTTCACTCTTGCCTCGGCTTTCTTGGCCCCATCATGGACCGTTACGAACTTATCGGCCATCTCTTCAAAAGTTTCAATGGAATGTGCAGACAGTTGTGAATACCATGTCAAATCTCCTCCTGTGAGGGTTTCACCTAATTTCTTCAACAAAATGGAGAATACTTGTTCTTTAGCAAGATCATTGCCTTTCACGGAGGTGACGTAGTGAGTCACATGATCTTTAGGGTCAGTCGTGCTATCGTATATTCTTAGGTATGGTAGCACTTTGAATGTTTTCGGTATGACATGAGGGGCTACATCATCACTGTATGGCTGCTCGATGAACCGGCCGGCGTCTCTTTTCGATAACAGTTTTGGGGCGCCTGGTATTTTATCGACCCTTTCTTGGTGTTCTTTCAATTGATTTCGGAGCGCCTTATTCTCGTTCTCCATTTCCTCCATCTTTTTCAAAATGGTTGCAAGAGCGTTATCACCTGCATTATCATTGGCATTGTGAGTGATACCTGTCGTTGGAGGTAGATGGAGTTGGTCGCACTACTCCTCCACCTGTTGTACAGTGAAAATCCTTGCATTTTCCATAACCGCATCCTGAGCGGGCTTGTTGAGGGCGTCAGTTAGCACGACGGCTAGCCATGCTTCGAGGAGCTTTTTACAGCTAGGGGCATCTCTTCCCCCACAGATGTGGAGGCTCCTTTAATGAGGGATCTTGTGATGCTGCAATGAGGGGGCGGTGACTCTTCTCGCCTAGGGGAGGCATTGGGCATTGCATCTTCGTCTGCTGTTTCACAACTTTCGTTGATGACGTTCATAAGGCTAGTGGGGAGGTCACCTATTATTCTCGTTCGTTCTTCCCTATTACCTGCCATGTTGATACTTGTGCACACAGAGAAAGAAGATCTTGTTCTTGCTTCTTTTTTTTACGCTAGTGATAGATCTAGAAGAAACTAAAAGTTTAAGTAGGAAATCCCCACAGATGACGCCAAATTGTTTGACCAAAAAGTGCAACTCTTGGTTCAAATAATTAAAGTTATGTATTAAGGGGTTAAACCTAGTTAACAATAATATTTCTAGATGTGAGTTATGAAAGCGTGGCTAATGTGGGACATATGTGTAAGAAATATAATAATGGTGTGTAACAATTATTCCAAGCAACATGAATAATAATGGAGCATTAAATAATAATAAGCAATAATAAATGTCATTCAAGTAAATAAAGGAATGGTTCACCCAATAAAGGAGGAAATAGATGTTATTCCTCCTGACAATAATGAATGACACACAAACCTTTGAATATTCTAATTATCCTCGGATCTAGCAGAAAGTCTGGAATGATGTGGACAAGAATCTTGGTAAAAAAAAGGTGTTGTTTGTATCTTAGTCAGAGAGAGAATCTCTTTATCAAAGTATGCTCTTGCAAATGAATATCACATACCCTGTATCATTGTCCCTTTTCCTCTTATATGAGTCATATTCCTAACAAACCCTAATAGTACAAGTGCAGAACAAATCCACTAGAATATTCTCTTGAATATCCTATTTTGCAAACTAGCCGTTACAGCTCTATCAACGATGCTCAACCTAGACCATTGTCGACATCTCGACCACGAATCCCACTGTTTCCACTGATGATGGCTTGAAGACTTTTCCTTTAGCATTACCTTGTTTTAAATACTTTAGGAAGATTTTGTCGTATACAGTAGGTTCTTGCCTCTGGGATCGCTAATCGTAAACAGTTTCTGAAATGCAAGATCACTTCTTTTTAACCGGCATAAGTAAAAGAGCATTGTCATTAGAAGACAATAAAATGAAAAAGTCTATTGAAACTTATTCTCATGAGACGCATTTAGTAAATCCTCTTTGCAGAATTCATACTCCCAACTTTTATTCAAGCTAAAGTATATCGAAATCTGTTAACCGAAATTAGCTTGCAATAGGACGTTTTCGACATGTAACGAGTCAACCAAAAAGAGAAACCAAAATACAAATTAAGAAGGATGCTCATAGAGTACGTTTCAAATTTTGGAATAGAAAACCTAATTCATTCTCCTACAATCCCGAGGAGAAAGAGGAAAAACAAGTGAGGGTAAAAATTTATTTGGAGCAGTTGTTTACACGAAATCATATTAATTTACGATGACTAACTCAAAAATTAAGGAGAAAATAATTACTCCTGTAGACAATAAATTTGCGTCGAGAAAATAAAATCAAGACCGAAAAATATTGCAACAATCGTAGTATTTTATTTCGAATATTTGAGTGTTACAATCTCTATGAATCCTCTGATTCTTCTTTTCAATAGTAAATAAATTCAAGGGCCTTTGAGCTTGATCTTGAATATGTATTTGTTGCCTCGAACGATAATCTTGTTCTTGAGCTTGAACTTGATTGCTTGAACTTGACCTTGATTTGTTCTTCGTTCTTGGACTTGCACTTGATTTCTTGAACTTGAACTTGAAGCCTGAAACTTGTGGAGGAATTTGCAGCGTTTGATCCACGAGCTCTTTCTTGCTTCTTGTTATAACTTCTGGT